GCTTTCAACAAAATGGATGGACACAGTGGCTGCATCAGTGGGCTCAGGCCTGGGAACCATGGTGAGGATGGCGCAGCACAGTGCAGTGTTTCGTTCTGTTGCGGATAGGGTCGCTATGGGTTGGAGCTGACTCAATGTTCATCAATGGAACTGCTGGGTGGGGAGGGGGATGATAGGGTAATATCCTATCATTTGTTTTGATATTCAATTCAAGGTGCAGATGAAAATTCTCAAGGGATATATCCCTAACACCTAATCTGAAAAGGCAGCAGGCTCCCAAGATAGGGTGCACACTCCTGAAACCGTGCAATTAAAAGAGTTTAGAAATTCGTTCTCACCATCAGGATTCCAAAGTGGGTGAGGTGGTGACACAGGCAAACGGTCTCGTTCTCGTCTGCACCTTTATGTGTGACGCATCCCGAGGTGTTCCACTCTCCAAACCCTGTCGTGCGGAGAGAACCACAAACGGAGTGAGAGCGGCAACCGGCCAGCCCCTTCTCGACGTTGTACAGGTGTGGCACTCCCCTTGGTCTCACGTCCCTCGGGCTCTTCTGCCTCACCAAAACGATCTTTAAAACCAAGCTTTACTGCGGATGCTACCAAATGCGTAGAACGACTGAGGCTCAGGGAATTGTATTAGGTTAGTAATGTTAGTGCTGGATGGGCAACTGGCATTTGAAAGTGTGTTTTGCAAACATTTTGTCCACATTTAGTTTTTAATGTATTTAAAAAATAAACTTCCTAAACACTCATTTTTCAAATAGGTTGCCGATGAACTGGATTCTCTGGAAAGCCACTCACGTGTTCCCCAGGTCAGTCTACACTTTGGGGGAAGACAGAAAAGATGCCAGCAGCATCCTCGGCGCATGCTACACTGTGCACAGCAAACGTGCCTGCGGATAACCCACTTGGAAATGCCGTCAACACAGCTCATCTGGGTTTAATAGTACAATACAGAACGTGGACAGCTCAGCTTGTCAAGTAGTGGCTCTTTTTCCTCGGGGAATATTTTGAAGCTGTGCGCTGATAATATTTTAAACTGCGTATCTGAGTGAGTCAGGATCTACTCAGAAGTGTACAGCCAACACCCAGCGCAATCATGAGAACAATAAAACTGTCCAAAGAAATCACTTAAAATATGGCGTTAGGCCACTTTGAGACTAGATTTTACCAGGAAAAGATGTCCTGGAGCCAATACGGGCATGCACATCACACCACTGAGAAACTCTGGGGGAAGGTGGATGGCTTTAGCCCGGATCGCTCCCCTCTGCGATCCCCACACCGTAAGCCTGGAGGGGATGAAGTCTGCCTTCTTCTGTTGAGTCTCCAGTGGCAGTTCAGTTCTTCCCACACAAAGGGGCTTCAGGAGTACATGACAAAAGGGACAGGAGAGGCCACAGAACTTTCCCGGAAATTTTTCCTACTAGTCGCATTTATTTTCCTTCATATTCATTTTCGTATATATTTCTTTTCCTTTAGTATGCTGCTTCTCCCCCACCCCCACTCCTTGCCCCAAGGAATTTCAGGTCTGGAAGCTAGATTTCAAATCGGATCCCTACTGCCCATCATCAAATAGCTCCCTCGGAGATCTTAGGAGGCTGAGATCAAGTATATTTTCTTGGAATGCAAAATAAGTTAGAAAAGTTAGAACTGAGTTTCTAAGAAGCTTAAATATTGCAGCTCTGGTGTCCTTGCATGGAGATTGTGACTCACTCTGGTTTAGGGTGGGGGGCGGGGAATAAGAAGCAGAGGTGTCTAGTAATGGTTAAAATGAAATCATTCCCTATATTAAGACAAACAATATTCAAAGCTTACCATTTTTGTTCATATCCCAGAAGGCACAGATGGGGTGATGCACTGCCTAGAACAACACAAGATCAACATGGGACACTGTGTACAAAATCATTTTAAAGCCTTATGCTGTGAACCTGGGAGAAGAGTAAAAATGCTACGTTTTTCACACAGCAACCGCCAGGCCAATGCCACACGGCAGTGGTAGGCTAAGAACGCTAGGCTGGTGCCCTTGATCAGGGAGCGCAAGTGGAAATCAACTGTGACCTCATGAGGAATCATGCGATCCCTTCATGTGCAGGTTAATGGCGTGGAGGAGGCTGGGAAATCTACTGCCAGAGGATTGCCATCAAGCTCAAGG